TTAACTACAGCCCAGTTTTCAGAGTTAGTATTAACATCTCTAATATCAGCTCCTCCTCTGGCTCTAACAAAACCTGAAGAAAGAAGAGGACAAAAATAGGTTATATTAGCTTGTATTTAAGATGCACTTTTTTGCTGCTCAAAAGTGAAGTAAACTAAAAACTTGTTGCATTTTTCACCACTGCCAACTTTAACAGCACCAAGAAGAAACCATTATACTGAAATCCTTCCTCATAAGTGGGTTTATACTAACATAGAATAGAACTAATTTTTACAACACAAAGACATTTCCTATAGAAATAATTTATTAGAATGTAAAAACCCAAGGAAACGTCCCTCACACTGAAAGCCAGTGGCATGTGGAACGATCAGGGCGCTCTCAGTTAGGTCAGCTGTTCCCCAGCCACTCTTCCTCACTCTAGCATCTGCACTGTGCCCAGCATAAATGTCTACTGGTCTGTTTCAAATTAAGGAAGGAAAATTACACCAGTGAACACTATTCTTGTTACAATTTGTATACACTTGACTCCAAAACAATGTTAAGATTTTTTCCAAGCTATCTACCTGAGGCTCTAAGCTGGCCAAGCAACTGTGATCTCATTCCTACGATGATTTCCATCGTGGCTTGAGACAGGAAGTTCTTTTCACAGAAGGCTCTCTCCCAGCCATCACTGCGCGCCTTCTGCCATGCCTGTAAAGTTTTTGGTTTGGTTTTGTTTCCATTTGCCTGTTAATTTAGCTAAATTAGTGTTAGCTAAAATTAAATGCACTTTTTTTAAAGGAAACAAAGGCAACAACCGCTCTGAAAGAAAGGCAACGTATCAAAACAGTTTTTTTTTTTCTTGTTAAGTACTAGATTAATTTTACCCATTCCCTAAATTAACATTCTTTATGTTATTATAGGATCATTATATTAAGTTATTATAAAAATCATTATGTTAAGATTATTATTTTGAGTTACCAGTGTAGCAGGATGTAGAGCGGCACCTTGTGGGAACATTCAGAATTAAATTATGTTTCAAAATATAAACAAAAATCTGACAAAAAGTGTCCTCTCACAAATTTATGAGGATATATACAGGAAAGCCACTAGGCAAAAATAAAGTTTCTTCTCTAAGTACTTAATCATAGTCTATCACCTATCTACATCCAACTTGACTGGTACATCATTTACTTTGATATGCGATCGATTGTGATTAGTACTCTTTCTGAAGATAAAACAATACCTGGAAAGCCCTGAGAAGCGCCATATGGTCACTAAATGTTCCTGCAGTAAAACGTTTTCTACACAGCATGGCTGCACGCTTTTGAGAGGCCAGCGTAGGTAGGACAAAAGGGTCTCGATATGCAAGAGTGCAAGCAATAGTAAGAATAGGATCCAGGCACTTCAAAACAGCCGCACACAACACCATTTTACCAAGGTGTGGCTCTACTGGTAACTCAGTGAGATGATAACCAAGCTCAGTGAGATCTTCCCAGTGGTCCATGGCATCTATTGTCTGTTAAAAAGAAAAAAAGAGCAGGGGCAGAGAGGACAAAGTTAATTTACAATAAAAGCAGAAAGGATGTAAGTACTGGATATTAACTAGACTTGTTCCCAAACACTAAGAAGCAAGTCAAACTCTTAACATTTTGCGACAAGATTTTCAAGCACTCTCTTCCCTTAACATGAAATCCACACACACAAAATGAAAATAGACAACACACAGTGACTCAAAGCATCCTTAAGTAACTAAAAGCAACAGGCTCAGTGCAAACAAAAAGCAGGAAGATATATTGCCACACCACAAATACAGAATCAAATACAATGCCCATCTAAATCTACTCCTCTGCTGACCTTAAGCATTTGCACAGCATTTCTCACAATTAAAGCTGGTGGAGGATCAGGAGCTTTCATCAGAAAGTCAACAATGGGACAATTAATTGGAGCCAGAAGTTTTGTGTGTAAACAAAGCTCCTGCAAGTTAAAAAGCAAAAAAAAGTTTGTTAGGATTGGGGAAAAAAGAACAAACCACCAAACACTTTTTTGGAGTTCATAGTATGGTTTGACCATAATACGTATTTTAAAAGTTACAATTTCTAACTGAACGTGCACCTGAAGTGGCATCCTTAGAAGTTCCGGAGTTTGGAATTCCAACATATTCTCAAACCGGAGCCTGCTGAAGAGACGAAAACAGACTCCAGGCTGACAGCGCCCAGCCCTTGAAAATAAAATATGGGAAGTTGTTGAAAATTAGAATTTATTTAAAAAAAAACAAACCCAGAAACCAACACACACACACACAAACGCAGAATGGAAATGTAGAACCAGGTCTAAGAAAAAGATAATTGTGCCATTAAGTCCCACACATGAGGTGAGAGTTTTCCAGTACATGGATTATTTTTGACAGTATGGAAATTTGTTATTCTAATTTTATCCCAACACTGGAAGACCTGGAGAAACAAAAATAAGGCCTATCTAAAAATAAATTGATGTGGGTGTTCTGCTAACCTAAGATCAATCCAAATCTCAACTGTCCTTTGCTGTAAGGAACATAAGTCATAAACTTCATTTCTTTCTCTTCACATCCCCCAAACAGTTGGAAGTTACTCTGGGAGTAAGAAGTAGAATGAAGACCAAACTTGTGAGTGAGGGGATAGGGATAGCAAATGCTCACATTCACGCTCAAATTCCTGTAGGTCAATGCCAATATCACACAACCAAACACAGGCGTTTGTTGCTATATATCCTCTTAGCCCTCACACAGAATATGATAAAGGCCCGTTAAGTCATTAATAGTTTGGGGAAGATGAATAAGGAATCACTGCTCAATGTCTCTTCTAATATAGCAATGAAGGGGTATCAACTAAAAACTAGCAATATGCAACCTTTTGCCCACAGGCAAGTTGTGAAACACCTTATGGGACACTGTGGCTGCTAGTGCCACATGCGAGAAAGAGGAAGGAGAACAAGTTCATAGGGGGAAAACAACCTAGACCTAATGCAAGCTTTGGGAAATTCCCAAGTGTCACTTTTCTACAACCTGGGCAATTACTCCAAAGAAATACATGCTGACCCTTACTCTTCTACAGAGAATTAGCATCGGCCGTTGTCCAAAACGATACCGGACTAGGCTATTAACATTACCCAATGTGGCTGTTACTATGTTGTGTATTTTATCCTTAACATACAGGACTGTGGATATCTGCAAAATAAAAATCAGTATGAAGCATTTATTACCTGCCTTTTCTCTGGATAGCGCTGGCTTTTGAAATCCACACGATTTTTAGCATTGTAACACAACTCAGTGCATCAAAAGACTTCTATAAAAGCAAAGCAAGGAACATAAAAACAAGATTGAAGAGGGTACATGAAATAAAAGTTACTAGTGATTTAGATCATCAACAGAAGTTCTCTAAAACAAAAAAAACCCAGGCACTAGCAGCTTCTGGCACACAGGTATGTTCTGAAGTACTTAGTTTCAAGTGACTTTATACTACCTCCTTCACAGTATCTTTGTGCTGCACAGTTTTCTAAATTAAGGTTTCCTAGTCAATAGGTAATTGTAAGTCAATAAAAGACATGGATTGAGTTTTGTGGTATCATATCACAAGCCAAGCAAAAATATGTTAACAGATTCCCATTTGTCTTACTTGGAAATTACGTCCTTATTTTCCTACATTCGATGCAAAATTATGAAAACACTGTATTACCATGAGATCTTCAGAAATTCGGTGTGCATATCTCCTATGAAATCCAGTTTTATTTTCTAAGCCATATACTGTTTTAGATTGCCTCATTATGTTATCTCATGTTTCTTGAAAAAGTAAGTAGGGAATGGTCATTGAACACATCAGTAACAATGCTTAAAAACTTAATGGATTAGACTTGGACTAGGTACAACAGTAGGACAAAGCGAACTCCCAATGTTCTCTAAGTCTCAGGAAGGTGGCAGTCTAAACTGATGGACTAGTTTTAAAAATCAAACAGAAATACCAAATTAAAAAAAAACAAACAGATATATCAATATATCAACCTGCAATAGCTTTTACAAGGTTTTTAAACAGCTAGCTATTTACAGTATTTGTCATGAAATAAACAAATGACAAAAATTCTCAGTGAGTTCTGTTGCTTGGCATGCACTAGCTCTCAGCCTACTGTAAAAAAAAATAATTATCCAAAATTTATGTATTATGTATTTTAAAACAACACGAGGAAGTTTACTTCCCAAAGAAGGCTTAAGCCAATCATACCTCTTTCATCTTGCCCGAGTCAATAACAAATACAACATCATTGACTGTTAGGCTGGTTTCTGCAATACTAGTAGAAAGGATCTGCAATTAAAAAAAAAAAAAAAAAAAAAAAAAAAAAAAAAAAAAAAACAAAAAAAAAAAAAACCAAAAAGCTATAGTTAACTGTAAAAGCAAAGACAAAAAATACCAAGGTAATATCTGACAGAGTCCTCTGATACTTGCTATTTTGCGGATGCCAGAAGGTGGACTTTTAAGCACCTTCTTCTGATCCAACGTCTGCATATTCGAATGAAGTATGAAAACTTGGTATCTAATGCAAGAAAAAGAGCACGTTTTAAGGATCTTTAAAGAAAAGAATAAAAATTCAAGACAACCATAGAAACTAGAGGTTTTACCTGTGAGCATTATCAGCAAATCTCTTGTCATCAAAAAGAATACGGTCCCTCAGGCTAACAATCTCATCATATCCAGGAAGAAATATTAAAATTGCTCCTAAAAAAGAAGTTGATTTCCAGAGTTAAACAGAGAATTCACTTCAAGTGTACGTCAGTACTGCGTATACTAGCACTCGGGAAGTTTTACCTATTTGGTATTACTGAAAAAAAGAGCAACAATTCAGCACAGAAGCTGAATCCACAGCAATTTATTGGAAGTGCGTGTATATACCTACCAGCATCACAACTATGACAGATGTTATAAAGTAAGTGCATAATCAGGTCCAGATCCACTTTTTCATCATCAACACTGTGATGATAAGCTTTCAACAGTTCTCTGTCCTCTGCACTAAGGTCACTACCACTTGTTTGGACCAGGGAACTTTCATCCAGATTTCCAAATGCCACTGAAGCACTAAAATATACAAATACACAGGCCAGAGTCAAGGTTATTTGCTTCGCGTTTGCATACAGCCATCAATTCAAATTTAGATCAAGACCAACATGACTACTCATCTCAAATTTTAATTATGAAGTGTAGCAGAACAGCATCTCCACAAGAGTGTCACTGTTCACTGATTTAAGTGTTAACTCGGCAAAACACAGAACTTCAATAGCAGCCCATAGGAGCTGGGCAAACAATCACTATGATACTGAATACAAACCTTTTTTTAAATAACTATGTTTTCAAAATATTCCTATCCTCAAATAAATCTTGCTACTTAGCTTTTTATGCTTTAAAATCTGGCCTAAAAGCTGTTCTGATTAAAAGAAGACAAAACATAAATTTCCCATCACCATGTTTCAGAACAGTTTCTGCAAAGTAGTTAAAAGCTTACCTGTAGGACTCCAACAGGTCAACAACCTCTGTCTGTCCAAAGTGCTTAGCCCAGTCCAAAGCCATCCTGAAAGAGTTGCATAAAAATCTTTATTAATTTCTCATTTCAAAAGATACATACGAATAGCACGTTGCATGACACCGCACTTTTCTATCAATTTCTGCATTATTGTTTAATTGGTGCTGTTACTGTTGGATTTGCAACTTCCCATTTTAAAGTACAGAAAGAGGTGTAACAGCTATATGATTTTTAGATAACTGCCATTCTTTACCAAGAAAGAATCCCAGTTTTACACAGAAGTGAGTGCAAACATGCAGAAGGAAGTGAGGAAGAACGTGCCATTCCTTCAAAAACCACACATCAATGTGCAGAGACAAGCCATACCTTTCTGCAGTACCCTTTACTACCTCATTTAAATCATCCCAAGAAGTCACGCCTCAGATTTTTTTCTCCAAAATGTGTAAAAACATTGGGGTTTTTGATGTCTTAAGGAAGTTGCCCTCTCCACAATGCAGTTCACTGTTTTCCTCTTAAACTGTATCCCTTCCCAAGTTTTTCAAGTGTTAGTACCAAGTATCAGACCTCCTAGAATCTTAATTCAAATCTTTCCATATCACAATTATTTACTGTAGTTCCCTGTTTATACAAAGACACAATTCATGGCCACAAAAACCTGAATTTTTACAGATTCACGAATGTTTTCACATGATACAACATATTTACAGATATAACACAGTAATGATCTTTGCACTTGTAATACACTACTTTTAAATCTGATATAGGTTACTCTCTTAAAATAAGAATTGCCAAACATTTTTGGTCTAATTCAATCAATCCAGTAAGAAAGATTCCAATTTTTCTTCTAACCAGTTCTTAAATCACATTCATTGAAACCAAGAGGGTATATCCCATATTCGAGACTGTTTAATTAAGAATTCAATTTACAATATACAGAAGACCATGTGATAAACAGAAGTCAGAAATTGCTTACACTGTCAAAACCTGCTAGTGCTTACAGCAGTATGAAAAGTTAGCAAATCAGTCTAGATATTACAGAAATTGCTCTCTCATTTGCGTATTGACAAATAAATCTATCTTTCAGTTTATCTGTTTGTTTTTACCAGCCATTGGATGATTTGCAGTGGATATTTGCTCCCATACTGATCAGTTGTTCTACTTGACTCAGAAAGCCTCTCCCTGAAGCGATCATTAGTGCAGTCACGCTCGTTTCACTGTGCCTATAATCAACTGAAAAGTAAAAAAAAAAAAAGAAATCAGCAAAACCAATACAAATGTTATTTTTTCATCTAAATGCGGTATGAATATGACTTTCAAAACCCAGCCCAAAGAGAATTCATTTCCTCACTTCATCCCACCAGTCAGTTCATGTGAATTTAACATCTGTCAATACAAAACAAGTACAACAGCAAATTAACTACAAAAGTCATTAATTCTGCTAAACCTAGTCATTTTTTCAATAGGCGTCACAATTCAAAGGTAACAACATTTAAAATTGGAGATAAAGTAGCCATAGAAATTCAAGTAATTTTGTGGGGCTTTTTTCTTATGTAATAAGATGAGAGACTTACCACTGACATTTTCAGTTAAAATGAAATGGAACACCTGAGCAAAGGAATCAATATCTTTATGCAACCAGATGTTAGAAAGACAAGAATCCATTTCTTTTATTAGCCACGGTTCAAGGCAATTCGCATCTTTTTCAGTCTGAAGAGAAAAAACAGTATTGAACGACAACTCTCTTCAAAGAATTGTCTTTATTCTCGTGTGTTAGACACAAAGAATTTGAACAGTTAGTCTTCCAAGTAACAACCAGAAATACAGCATTCAGATATCACTTAAAACATTTATTGTATCATATGCAAGTACTTTAAACAACGGCAGTCTAGCCATTTGATCTAAACAAAAGTTACGTGCAACCATCATAACTGAAAAGCACATACTAGCTAGAGCAGTTCATAAAATAATAATACTTTAAAATACGTTAATATCCTTCTAGAAACTCTACAGGAGTTGTATCTTTAGAAAACACTTTTTAAATGGGTAGAGTAATATAATGCAAATTTAAACATCTCTTCCAACAAGAGGAAAAACTTACCAGTTGATTAAATGCTGTGTCACCACCATCATCCAACAGATTACACTCTTCAGTTGCACTTGGGACAGATCTTTGTCTCTGAGGTTCCCGTTTGCTATTATTTTCTCGAGCAGAACACCACTCAGTAAGAGTGCTTTGCTGCTCTTCCTCTAGAATGCATGAAGTATTTCCAAAAAAGAGTTTTACCGGTATCTTATTTATCCATTGTTTTCAGTGACAAAATATAGTTATATCAAGTCACAAGTTTTATCTATTCAGTCTCTTCTATTTAACCTAGAACACTGTTACCAGTCCAATACAAATTCCATGATTAAGCGCACAGTTGCAAACATCTGCTATAAGAACAAGATGCTTAACCCCCTAAGTCTCCTGTATTCCAACTTACTGCATTCAGATGAGCTTCCTAAGTAAATATTTTCTACACAATTCTCAGTCCAGATCTTTCTCCAGAAGTAAAATACCAAAGAGAAGTAATACAGCTCCTGCATGTTACCACTAATTTTTGTGTACAGGTAGAAGAAACAGTACAAGATACCAGTGCCTTAAGTGAACTTTTCTATCCACGTGATCAGAGGACCACAATAAACGTACAGTTAGGATTGTATGTTACAGCTTTGGGTTTTGCCCCCGCCCCCCCCCCCTTTTTTTTTTTAAATACACACTAGGATCATTACTTTCAGTTGTCAGGAGAACTTCTATAGTATATATGAATAATATATCTACCTAATCAGTTAAAGAACAACTATATTAAATTCAAGTATGTTAATGCTTCTGGGCTATCTATAATAAATACATCCATGTCTGAAGAATGCAGTGAAAATTGTTACTAATAGAAACCACTTCTGTGCAAGATGCACAAAATCTTGCCCTCTTTCATGGCTGCACTTTAATTTGCACCCAAAAGTCAGCACATAATATCTTCTGCTTCACTAGTTTTCATGTGGGCAAAGCCCTGAATTATATACAATTCTACTCATAATAATTAGGAAAAACATCGCATTTATAAACTGAAAGCAAAAAGAATGCAACCCTTGAAAGAAAGTGAAAATATTCTCCAGAAGTAAAATACCAAAGAGAAGTAATACAGCTCCTGCATGTTACCACTAATTTTTGTGTACAGGTAGAAGAAACAGTACAAGATACCAGTGCCTTAAGTGAACTTTTCTATCCACGTGATCAGAGGACCACAATAAACGTACAGTTAGGATTGTATGTTACAGCTTTGGGTTTTGCCCCCGCCCCCCCCCCCTTTTTTTTTTTAAATACACACTAGGATCATTACTTTCAGTTGTCAGGAGAACTTCTATAGTATATATGAATAATATATCTACCTAATCAGTTAAAGAACAACTATATTAAATTCAAGTATGTTAATGCTTCTGGGCTATCTATAATAAATACATCCATGTCTGAAGAATGCAGTGAAAATTGTTACTAATAGAAACCACTTCTGTGCAAGATGCACAAAATCTTGCCCTCTTTCATGGCTGCACTTTAATTTGCACCCAAAAGTCAGCACATAATATCTTCTGCTTCACTAGTTTTCATGTGGGCAAAGCCCTGAATTATATACAATTCTACTCATAATAATTAGGAAAAACATCGCATTTATAAACTGAAAGCAAAAAGAATGCAACCCTTGAAAGAAAGTGAAAATATGTTTTTGAAAGTTACATGATCTATTTCAATAATGTAAACACTGAAAGCTGAAAGATACTTGCTGTCATCTAATCATGTCTCATTTAATGTTCTGACTTTGGGTTTTTAACAGAGAATCATCCCGTTTAGTTGTTTGACCAATCAATGAGACTCATCACCAGCCCTGACAATTAAGAAGTCCACCAACCTCGCTGCTTCTCCTTTTTGTACTTTATCATCTCTTTGTTTGTATACCCAGTGCTTCGTAAAATGTCCTCCAAAAACATCTCTTTAACTTCAAAAGGTCTTCCTTGTACTGAAAGTATAAATAATTCATAAAATATTAGACATTCCCTAGCTTAATTTATAATCTTAATCTAAACAAAGCATTTTTGTAGACACAGAAAGTGAATTAAAACATTATTAGGGCCTAATTTAAGGAATTATGACTTTCCTTGAAAAGTCCTGTAAGAGTATCTACACAGGAGTTTATTTTCTTAGGATTACTGGGCCATAAACCAAAACAACATTTCAACAGGAAAATGCCAGCTGGGTGCCTTGTTTCTCATAAACCTCTTCAATGCTATTAAGGGTTTCAGCAAGAGATGCTCAGAAGATTGACATTTATTAACTGGAATTTTATCAAAATGAGAAAAATAGCCATTTTTGTTCAGGGTTACAAAAAAGAATTCACTGTGTCAGACTGCCACCTGGACTATAAAATATAACAGCAATTGATACAGCTTTAGTGTGAGATTCCACAGATAGCCACCTTTTGTATTACAGTACTTCTTTTTTCATGAGAAGTATATGAGGAGACGGACTTCTCTCAATTTCCTCAATCGCTTCAGCCAAATTAGGTTTCTTTACTGAATACTTCCTGATAAGTGAGACATTCCAACGGTCTTTATCTCCTAATAATTTACCCTGATTTCTTTTTCAATTATCACTGTTTACTAGACTTTTTTTTTATGGACGTTAAAGGATTCTTCTTTGCAGGAAGAATTAACATCTCTCAATTTTAATTTCTGGTCCCATAGCAGACATTTGCCATAGCTAATTTTGAATCACCTAGGACTTTTCTTCAGAAAGAACAAGCCACAGTTCAAATACTTTTAGAAGCTGTCATGGAAGAAGTCTTCCAACACTGATCACAAACTCCGTGTACTACAGGAACCCACAATTACAAAGTGTGGGTTTCTGTGGTCAGGATTTTGTCAGCTATATTGTTAAAGGAGGATCAAATCTTTTTCATGACATAACAGACAAACTATCTAAACTCTCCTCTTTTAATTCTTAAATTCTCAAGAATGGAAAAAGGAAAGTGTCCTTTCAATTGTGATTAGCCTGTGAAGCCTAGTATGTGATAACAGTATAGCTGAGGTAAACTGGAGAAAGAGACTGTCATCAGGGTTTCCTGAATAAACATATTGACCTAAATGAACAGGCAGTTACAAGAAGAGTAAACTGGAAAGCCACATAACAATTACAAGTGAGGTTTCCTCTCTCCAAAAAAATTCGGAAAACACTGAAATCATGTATAATTTCCAGATTTCTGCCTCCAACAAGTTGCAAGCCTTATTTTACTAGGCCAAAATTCAGAACTGAGAACCAGAAATAAACAATCATAGATCTGTAAAAAAAAAAAATAATAATATATAGACGACTTCTTCAGGAACATTCACGAAAATAAACCAATGATCTGTAGAGAAGATTCTAAAGGGATCCTACCCATGTCCTGTGATTGTCAAGCTTCTTAAAAAAAGACTGATATGCAGACAGTCTACTTGATTGTTTTAAAGAGAAAGCATTGCTCTTAAAAGATTCTTTTTTAAAATGCATTATACTCAGACATCATTGTTGAAAAAGGAAGAGGACTGCAACGTGCCAGAGGAGGTCACCCATGCAGAAAACTTACCAGCCAGAAGGGTGAAGGAGGGGACGGGGCGGGGGAAAGCATCTCCCACACAACTATGTTTTACCTCTACTAAAGATCAGTCAAATGACATTAAAACAGCAATAATGATAACTTTTCTTTGCATCTAACTGCAGATTACTGAGTCTGAACGTAAATTAACACAAATCGACAAGTCTTTTCTCAATGTTTACCTAGGTTAACAGCTAATAATTTCCTTTAAAATAAAGAATCATGTGATTAAAACATGAAAACCCAATTTGCCTAGGACTGTATTTCCAAAGGGCCCAGGTGCAGTTTTCTGTGATTTATCCAGTAACCAGCAGCAATCTCTGTGAGGCCTGAAGAACTAGAATCTACTGGAATGATGTAATATATATCACTCTTTTAGATTCTAGGGTCTATATCACCATGGAGATCAGCACTTTAAGAACCTTCTCCCCCTTCTTGAATTGCACAGGGCAGGGGCAGGACATCCTGTACTTACAGAACTCCCTGTGATAAACACAGTTTACTCTGAAGTAGGTGCAAATTGTTAAGAAACAACAAAAATGAACAAATCAAGAAAGAGCATTGCTGTAACTCTCAGTGTATTTATCATGTTTCCTTACTCAGAATGGTTTGCTACGGTTTAATAAGATCTATTAGTCCTAGATCAGGTATACTCAGATTTAAGAGTTTACATGAATACTTACTGTGTATTACCGGGCAACTTCCAAAATACCTAATAAAGAGATCTGCATCTAATGCAGCACTAGAAATAATTAGCTTTAAATTAGTCTGCTTTTGCAACACATCTCTCAGTTTTGTTAACAAGAAGTCACTGAACCTATCCCTCTCATGTACTTCATCCTATAACAAAAGGAAAAAAAAAACCAAACCAAAACAACAAATAAACATCACAGATCCAAAATTGCAACTTTTCACAAATACAAAATTTTTAAAAACTAAAATATAACTTGCTGGTACATTACAAACGCATTAAAATGTGTAAGTCCAGTTTAAGTAAGGATTTTTTAAAAACACTATCCAAAAGTCAAAAAATATTTCAAAAAGTTTTATAAAAATATCAGAGCAGACTGCACTGGTAATGCACAAGCCACATATACCTTAACTTCAGAGGTTAAAGTGGACTTCTGAAACTTCTTCTAATTCTTATATTTGAATCTCATTTTCAAGACAACAACACAAATCACAAATCCTACAAATCTTATTTTAATAAATTCTCACTTCACAACTGATGAGCATTTAAAGAAATGTATGATACCACATAATCAGAAAAAAGTTAAGACTGCTTAAATCCATTAAGTCATGCACAAAGCTTATAATTAATTAAGGAACACGAATGATTAATCATCTTTGTTAGTGTGTGCTTCTATTTTGTTTTATATTATGAACTTATGAAGCAGGGACCCAAATACAACATTTATAGGCTGAAGTCAAGAATGTATAATCATTCTTACACTTTTTTCCATTTTGATAAACAGGCAGGCACAAAATTATCATGAATTTATCTGTCTTCAGCAGTGGAGAACTTAATCTTGCAGTAAATCTTCTGGTTCCACTGCCTTATCAAACTCCACAAGAGGAATATTCACATAATCATAAATGAACACACTTAAATAATTTACTGAAAATCAGACTACTCATGATCTTGAAAACATTTGCTCAAAAAAATGGGCTGCAAACCTGCTATTGCTAAAACAAGTATATGATACAAGAAATTCTGATACACTCACATTGAATCGTATCTACATAAGCATCCCTAAGGCTTTTCTGCTTTCTGACAGAGGAAGTTTGGAAAAATTTAAAGCTCTGTCCTCAAAAACTGCACTATGATTCCAAAAATAATGATTGGCATTTACAAAAAAAACCCCAAACCCAAAAATGTACATCCTATAATAAAGACTCAGTAAGTCTTTAACATTAGTTCAGATTCTAAACAACCTTAAATTCAGCAAATTAGTAAAGAAAACTAGGATTTCATCTTCCAATTAACAAGTAATACATACTGCTCCACCTCACATGAAATCCAACAGGATTCTTACCACAATAACATGGGTCACAGTTGATAGAGTGCTGTCTCCTGCCATTAGCGTGCGAAGTAGTATGCCGTTAGTGCAGAACGTTAAGAGTGTCTTTGGAGAAACCCTATTGAACAGTTAATAAAGATACTTCAGGGTTCTGGACCATTTAAATGCTGCTAGCTTTTGACCACCTCCTGAAAATTAAAGGGTTGAGCAGCTGCTCACCAGAAGTGGGATTATAGTTCTCTCGACAAAGAATTCATGCATACCATTTGTTTTTAAACTATGCCTATTCCCAGAGAGTGCCTAGGGAATCTTAGTGCCTATGCTTCAAAACTTCAGAAAAAGATTAACTAAGTGAGATTCTAATTTATATAAATAAATAAGCAAGTGAAACAACCTTTAGAACCCCTCCGTGTTGTTTAATTTACTGAAAAATTCCGTGTGGACTGCTTTGGAAAAACAGGTTCCAATTCTTCAGCATATGCTCAGATATAGTCTTTGTAATTGCCTATATGTGCTGGGTTGACCTCGGCTGGATGCCAGGTGCCCACCAAGCTGCTCTATCACTCCCCTCCTCAATTGGGCAGGGGAAAGAAAATATAATGAAAAGCTTCTGGGCTGAGATAAGGACAGTGAAAGATCACTCAGCAACTGCTGTCACAGGCAAACCAGACTCAACTTGGGGAAATTAGCTTAATTTATTACCAAGCAAATTGGAGTATGGTAATGAGAAATAAAAGAATAAAGCTCACTAATTCTCATATACATATTTCTTTCCAAGTTTGGAATTCATCCCTCCTTTCAAAAATCCTCCTACATATTAAATTCAAGTGTACTTGGGTTTTGTGGCAAGGTTTTGGCAGTGGGGGGCCTCAGGGGTGGCTTCTGTGAGAAGCTGCTAGAAGCTTCCCCCATGTCTGACAGAGCCAATGCCAGCCATCTTCAAGGATGACACACCGCTGGCCAAGGCTGAGCCCATCAGCAATGGTGGCAACACTCCTGTGAGAACTTACTTAAGAAAGGGGGGAGGAGGCAAAAAAAAAACCCCTGCACAACAGAAACTGCAGCTGGAGAGAGGAGTGAGAATATGTGGAAAAAAAACCAAAACCCTGAGTGATGGTCAGTGAAGAAGCAGGGGCAGAAGGTGCTCCAGGTGCCAGAGCAGGGATTCCTCTGCAGCTCCTGGTGCAGCCCCTGGTGGGGCAGGCTGTCCCCCTGCAGCCCAGGGATGTCTATCATGGAGCAGACCTCCACCTGCAGCCCAGGGAGGACCCTATGCCGGAGCAGGGAAACAGCGTGTGATGGACTGACCCCAGCCCCCATTCCCCATCCCCCTGTGCCGCTCGGGGGAAGGAGGTGGAGAAATCAGGCATAAAGTCAAGCCTGGAAAGAAGGGAGAGGTGGGAGAAGGTGTTTTAAGATTCAGGGTGGTTTTTTTCTCTCCTACTCTGATTCAAATTTTGTAATAAGTTAAAACTAATTTTCCCAAGTCAAGTCTGTTTTGCCCATGACAGTAATTGCTAAGTGATCTCTCCCTGACCTTCTCTCGACCCACGAGCCTTTCTTTGTATTTTCTCTTCCCTGTCCAGCTGAGGAGGAGAGTGATAGAGCGGCTTTGGTGGGCACCTGGCATCCAGCCAAGGTCAAGCCACCACATCAAGCAGCACATCCAAAATGGAAACACTTTACATTACCCATCTCTACTCTTCTCGCTTCTTCAGCAGCCTTCTAGAAATGGTGAGCTTCCATACACATATTCAAATTCTTCTTTAACTTGGCTTTGTTATTCAAGTGCATTCATTTTCATTAGCTATGTGGTATCTTCATCCATATAAGCAACATAACCAGCTATATCTTTTGTCACAGCCTTCTCACTCGTATCTCAATTGCTGCCTGTTCCTGGAAATCCCACTATTTATACAGTTCAGAGAATCTAGAAACCACACACAATCTTCAGACTCTTATCCACTCCTGCTCTGCTTTAGGAAAAAGTTCCTCAGGTGATCTAGAAATCTCTAATTTTTGTATCACTTCATGCTTTAAACATAAAAGCTGAAACAAGAGTAAATTTAACCCAAACTAGATGGGTAAATAACTCTCAACTTCATCATTCACTGTCATATTTTTCTTTTTTTCCTGTTATGTACCCTACCAACTCTCACTGTATAGCATTTGTTACAGCATGCTGGTCTTCTTATGTATCTTCAAAGCTTGCAGAACTTTTGGATCTATACGGGTTAACAGTAGGGAGGGGAAAAAAAAAAAAAAAAAAAAAAAAAAAAAAGAGAGGGAAAGGAAAGTATAGCCTTGATCTGGAAACAAGACAAGGAATTCCACACACACACCCCCAACAAGAAATCAAGAGAAAGCACCTGCAATTCATTTATATTAAGACAACTTACTACATGAAACTGCAACATACAGGAGGAAAACTGTCCTTTTCACTCTAAATATTCCATTACCTGAAATAATGTATACTAGCTATACTTCACATACTGAGGTTTTACTAGGCTGTATCTCAAAACCACTGTAGTTTAAATGTACACAAGACTGAAGATACCAACACAAGTTCAATTGACTTTAAGAGAGATCATTAATACCTGCTTTCTAATCGGATCTGATAACCAATTGTCTGGCCAATCTTTTCTCTTCTTTCTGCTGCCACTCTTTCAGCCACCGCAACAGCTGCCAAACGTCTTGGCTGAGTGCAAAATATACGACAGGGAGCTCCATTTTTGTAACAGTCGTCAAGAAGGAACTGAGGGATCTGTAAAGAAGTGGTTTAAATTTACTTTTTAGTTTGTTAAAGTCATAGCTTTTTTACCACACTGAAAAAATTTAACTGTTTCTCAATATTACGCAGGTTGCAAAAGGATTCACAATAGGATTACCATTGAAAACGTACTTGAAGGGGCAGAAAGGCAGAAAAAATAAATTTCTGATTTTAATATGTTTCCAAAAAAAAAAAAAAGTTGCAGCTTCTCTCTCCTGCTTCAGAGAAATCTGTAAGAAAAACACCTGTACGTAATCTTTCATTTTATCACAGTAATAGTCCAGATACTAAGAACAGAACTAGCTTCAGAAGGAAAAGGGCTATGCAAAATTGGCGCTACTTTCCTTTCAATATTGTAAATTATTTTAACAAAAAAATGGTATCTATCAGAAAATTGTGCAGAATCATTTATACTTCTAGTAAGCATCTGCTGGCTTAGTATTTCAAAAGCAAGAAAATGAATTAGAACACAAGACTTTCAACTGTATAGGAAACCAAAAGCCTCAAAACTAGGACAAAAAAAACCCTTATTACATGAAGATCAGAAAATTGGCATTAGCTTTGTATGAATACTATTATCTTTTTTATTTCATTAAAGAAACATACTTGAGTAGTTTTTCCTGATCCAGTCTCTCCTACAATCAAAACAACTTTATTGTCCTTTATTATCTTGACTATTTCCTCCTGTTTTTCAAAAACTGGTAGTGATTGCCTGAAGGAATCAAACTCCGATTCCCCTCTTTTCACTGGAACCTGGGGGATACCGTTGTTTAGTCGTCCACTTGCCTTGTTTACTTCTCTGTTTTCTGTGAAGAGAAGCTAACAATTTACTTAGACACATACAAAAGTAGGTCACTAAACACTGTTTAAAAATCGTACATAAAAATTAACATGACTTTATATGCATCCCTATAGATAAAGTGACAAACCAGTTGCATTTAAAAGCCGTATCGTAGTAATGCATCCTGTTATGGTGGTTGATATAAATATTGTTCAAAGGAGTAATTACTTCCATAGACATTTTGAACAAAAATATACTATCCCAATGCATTGCTCTAAGTCAAAAAAGGACAGGAAGAGCAAAATGAGAAACAGAAACTAGACCCACAAAAGCAGCCTGGCATATTTTCTTGGCCTCTGTATCATGCTTACATATTCACACCTCTGCAGCTTGCCTAGAAATATTCACTGTATAGTTAAACCTTTAAGTTACTCCAAACTGTCAAGCACTACTTCTGAGACAAAGCTAACTTTACTGTGATCCATATGCCTTCTTTCACATCCTCACAGGTCTTTTATGACCTCCTTTCAGTCAGTCTTACATACCCGAATGCTCTAGTCCATAAGATTTGTCTTAAATCATACAAATTGAACCACGCTGTACCTAGACCCCCAGACTCACCCAGCACAGGTGATGTATTAGAAAGCAATGCATAAGTAGACAAAGAACCTGCACATCTTCAGAGGAACATCTTCAGAGGACACTACTTCAAATTTGGTATTGTAAATGCTATTCTATAATTCCTTAATAATTCTTTTCCATAACAACAAAAAGTTTGCTGTAAATTCAATTATACATATTTCATGTGATTAATATATTAACTCTTACGCTCATAACTGTTAAAGCAATAACCTTGGTAAAAGCATTGTTTAAAAACCCACAATATACCAGAAGTTTGTCTTCCGGTGAACTTTCATATTCTAGAAATCAAGAAGCCTAGTAGTAAGTAAGGCTAACTACCAACGCTAACTAGTTTCTTAGGGACCAAATCTATTTTAGAAGACAACAAAACAAAACCCCAAACTTTTATCAAGAACATGAATTTTTAGAAGCAGAACAGCCAGTCTCATTCTTATCAGGGTGTTCTTATACGGCAGTCATTGTAACACTTCTCTCTCCAATCTCACCTCATGGAACTTGTAGGAACTCGCATTTAGAAATATACTTCCGAGTAAATCTGTTTGGATCTGTCTCAAAGATTCAAATTAACTTGGCATAAGGGAGACATTGAAATGTGGGTGACATGACTGCCTAAGTTCCTCATGACACCAGTTTTAAAAGACCCTATATTAACAATTCAAAGTCAAGAAAATTAATGGCTTTCTTTGGAGGGGGAGGGTGTCAGCTGGGACAGGAGAAGAGACAGAAGATAAAGATCTTTGGTTTGTGGTTGGGTTGCGGGTTGGTTTGGGCTTTTTTTAAGCAGTGTTGATTCACAAGTTCATACCAGAAGACACAGTGAACATACCAGATTCAACAGCACATGCATTTCCTCGCTCCGTCTTTGGCAGAAGTTCTGTTCGTTCTTTAATTGTGACAGGAAATCTCTGAATTAAACTCCAAACAGCATGTTTCGTACGGGGAGCCAAGCAACAAGTCATTACGGCGTGTGTTAGTTCTGACCCATCCTTCTTCCTTACAGTCAGGTATCGATTTGCTCCTTTTCTGGGAGAAAAAAAAAAATGTATTTTAGGAAGTAACCTACTTACCTCTATGTAATAATCTTTGACCATAATTCTGTCAAGATGGCTGTCATATTATTTTAAAGTCTAATGTCTTCCAAACAACGTCCCATGTAGCACAACACACACCAAAATAACACCCAAAAATCCCCCATCAAAACCCCCCTCTATGCACATGAGGTGGCGTAGCACAGACACTGCAGACTTCATCGGACTGTGCCCTGCACAAGCTTACAATTAGGCCTCCATAATGTGACACTGTTCTGCTACCTTTCCGTTAAACGTCTATTACTGCATTTGCTTCCCGAAAGACAGCCAGCTCCATCAATCACTCTATCAACCAATACAGAAAGGTACTTCACAAAACTGACTTCTACAATAATTCAAGAGATTTAGAGGTTAAAAATCAACAGAGAGACACAACGGTCAAACAAGCAGCCTTCTAGTGATATTCCAAGCCTTAATGAAATCCAGTAAACAAAATTAGATTCCCAGGATGCTCATTATCAAAGATTTACAATGTAGAATTAGAGCCAAAACACTTCATCATAGAATCATAAAGGTTGGAAAAGGATTCCGATCATGAAGTCCAACTGTCAACCCAACACCACCATGCCTACTAAACCATATCCCAAACTGCCACGCCTACAGGATTTTTGAACACCTCCAGGGATGGTGACCACCACTTCCCTGGGCAGCCTGTTCCAATGCTTGACAACACTTTCAGTGAAAAAATTTTTCCTGATGTCCAGTCCAAACCTCCCCAGATGCAACTTGAGGCCATTTCCTCTCGTCCTATCACTTGTTACTTGGGAGAAGAGACCAACACCCACCTCGCTACAGCCTCCTGTCAGGCAGTTGTAGAGGGCGATCAGGACTCCCCTCAGCCTCCTCGTCCCCAGGCTAAACGACCTCAGTTCCCTCAGCTGCTCCTTGTAAGACTTGTGCTCCACACCATACCCTTCACTGCTTCTTTGCCCTTCTCTGGACACGTTCCAGCGCCTCAGTGTCCTTCTTGTAGTGAGGGGCCCAAAACTGAACACCGTATGCAAGGCACGGCCTCACCCACGCGAGTACAGGGGCATGGTCACTTCCCTGCTCCTGCTGGCCACGCTATTCCTGATACATGCCAGGATGCTGTTGGCCTTCCTGGCCACCTGGGCACACTGCTGGCTCCTATTCAGCCACCTGTCAACCAGCACCCCCAGGTTTTTTTCCACCAGGCCTCTTTCCCAAGCCTGTGGCGTTGCATGGGGTGGTTGTGACCCAAGTGCAGGACCCAGCACTCAGCCTTGTTAAGCCTCACGCAACTGGCCTCAGCCCATCGATCCAGCCTGTCCAGATCCCTCTGCAGAGCCCTCCTCCCCTCAAAGCAGATCAACATCTTACATCGTAACTGTCAAGGTATGAGATTCTATGCAAAAACCTTGGGCACACAATAGTGCACGAAAAACAGAACAGGTCTGGGTGAAAAATCTTTTTTGTGGACCCATGAAATCCACAAAACAGTGTAAGGCCAAGCTATCTCCAATTAAACCTGTCAGAAGTGTTTTTTTAAGTAGACACAAAGCAAAGCACAAAGACACTTTGCTTGCTTTTTAAACTTTTTTCTCTAGGACTACCCACAGCCACAGCGCAGGACATGCTGGGAACACAGATCATTTTCAGGCTAGTCATGAAATTCCAGACATCTGCACCAAAATAAAAAAAGTGATAGATAAAAATCAGACTCCAACTTACCCTTTACTTTTAGATATCAGCCCAAGAGACTGACAGAGACGGTGAACAAATGCTCTTTCAGTACCAGTGAAAGAAGAAGGAAATTCCATTTCTAGGAAGATCATCAAAAGAGCAAACATAACAACGCGACACGCAGCATTCATGACGGATCATCCCGACGGCACGAGCTCTTCAGTCCCCGAGCCCCTCGCGTCCTCCCGCCAACACCGGGACTGCCGGCAGCGCTGTACCTTCGTCCCGCACGGGGGCGCGGG